GTCAGGTTTAACAGTGCAGTGAGGGCCAGGTACATGCCAATAAATAGAACTGTGTTGAAATGGGGTATATCATCAGAAATATCCTAAACCCCAAAATCTTAAACATAACCTGAAGGGTGTGAGAATCTGGGTAAAACATATGCCTCAATTCAAAATGAAACTCTTGTGTTTCCACAACCCTTTCCTGGTTTGTTGGGAGAGTTAACAGAGTGACAATGCTTCAGATACAGAAAGCTTTTGTTGAACAGGAAAGTCCATAAAACACGGCAGYTCTGCTGGAAACAGAATGAAAAACTAAAACCAGATGTGCACAACACCTTGGAAAAGCTGCTATAGCTGGTTGAAAGAACATTTTTGGGACTGTCTTGTGCAGGACCAGCAGCTGGACTTCATGGTCCTTGTGGGTCCCTTCCAACTCAGGACATTCRGTGATTCTGTGATGCCYTTAAAACATCAMAGGTGGAAAGTCAGRKAGGGGCTGAAGGATTCCCAGGGTGTAACAGGACCTTCGGACAATGAAGGCCCATGAAGGACCTCTGGGTGTTCCCCTGTTAGCCCCATCGTGGTGGGGATGTCCCCAGGCCTGTCACATGTGCTGCAACAGGTTGCTCAGAGGAGTTGGAAAATGTGAAGTTAATACAGAAGAAGCCCCAGATGTACAGAACAAGAGTGCATCAGTGTYCCAGAGAGGCTATGGAGCCTCCCTCCAGGAGATGCTCAAAACCCATTTGGGCTCAATGGTGAATGACTGCTTCAGGGAGACCTGCTTTAGCAGGGAGGTTGGACTGGATGTTCTCCACTTGCCCCCTCCAGCCTGGACCATTCTGTGATTCTGTGTGCTCAGAACAGTTGGTGTTTGCTCCTGTCTGAGAAGAACTTCTCCATAGGACAGCTGTGTATGGGACCACTCCTGACAGCCAGGCAATGGGCTGGTGGATGGGGGAGCTTTCAGCTGTGGAAATGGGGTGCTGGGAGCTAAAAACTGGAGATTGTCGTTGCAGAGCCTGTAGAGCTGAGCACGTGGCTGAACACAGAGCTGATGAAAAGCTGGCAAAGATCCTGCAAGCAGGGCCCCTGTCTAAAATATAGAGGATCCAGATAACATCATTTGTCTGGATTGTCAGAAACTTCTGATGAGGCACCACACCAAAGGTTATTAAAGAAACTCACTGTGGGAGCAGAAGAAAGGTTCTTTCAGGAATGGAAGGATAAGAAGTAACACATAGAGCTCTTCAGGGTGGAAGATAGTGAGCAGTGGGGGTCTCTAGGGGCCAGCGTTGGACCGATTTYATATGTGATATCTTCATCCATGGCCCCAAAAAGGGAATGAACAGAAAAATTTCAAGTTCAGGGATGACACTGACCTCTTCTGGATGGCCAAAAGCTGTTGATGGCAGAGAGTTGCAGAGGGGCCACACAAAGCCAAGGGGCAAAGACAGAATGGGTGAGCCCTGGTGTGGAGGAATGAAGGTGATGCTGCAAGGCAAAAGAAATTTGRAGGGCATCAGCCTGGAGCTCAGGAAAGGTGCTTGAGGGCAGGAGGAGACTGGAGCCATCACTGACTGGTGATTTCAGAGAATGGTTAATGCACAGCAGCAGCCTAAAGTCATCAAAAAGTTGTGTGGTCAAGAAGGATGTTTGGAACAAATAGAAAGTGTTTTGTTGGAACCAGAAAACCTTGGTGACCCCTCAGCTTGGGCACTGTGAGCTGGKATCTCCAGAAGGAGACAGAGGAGCTCACTTGCTCTGGACCTGCTCTGCAATAACCAAGATGAGAGGGGCCTAGAAAGGCTGTTGGAGAGGGAAAGGCCATGACAGGTTTGCAAAATCATGAAGGTGGAGGACAAGATGGGCATGGAACTGCAACACTCCAGCAAACCCTGGAGCACAGAGGCCTAACACGTGGTGGGTTTAAAGCAGAGAAAATATAAAACTTTTCATGGTAGGTTTGAAAGTCTAGAGTGTGCTTACATGGAGGGGAAGGAGACACAAAATAACAAGAGTCTCAGAGAGGGACTGTATCCTTATGGACAACAGGTTCATAACAGGAGAGTGAAAAGACCAGGCAGGAATGTCTCCTCTGACCCACAACCCAGCCAGCAGGGAGTGGGGAAGGAGGAGAGTCAGCATCTCCTTTTCCTACTATTGGACACCAACTCCTGGTCCTSCTAATGTGCCACCAGCCCCAAGTCAGGGAACAGGGCCTTGGGGTGCCTGGTGTCATCCCAGGTTCTGCTGTGTGTCCTGTCCCTGTGCCAGCTCCACAGTCCCTGTGGGGCTGCTGGAGATGGGACCTCTCAGCACTGATGGGGCCAGGGAAATTTGGCTTGCAGCAATTCTCTTGTGGTTTCTCCCTACACTTGGTTTACATCCAAACTGATCTGAAAACAAAGATTTTCTAAACTTTAGCAAACTGGCAGCTGCTCACACCCCACAGGCTCCCTGCAAGATCCTGCTGCCCCATCTCTCTGACAGTACAAACCACAGGAATGTTCCTCCTTGAGCTGCCTGTCCTGTCTGCTTCTCCCTGGGACTGTCATGTATGGGACCAGAAAGCCCAGGATCGTGGACCCCAGGGTGCCAGCAGCCCCCTCTCTGGAGCCATGCCCTTGCAAAGGCTCCATCACAGCCCAGCTCTGTGGCACTGGAGGGATTTCTCCATCCCTGCGAAAGCAGCTGTTCAGAGATCATGGAACGGATGCAGCCGCAGTCTCAGGGAGGAGGATGAGTGTGTTTTAGGAAGTGAACAAGGAGCTGAGAAGCTGCACCACTTCTCTGGCCATTAGCAGCACAGGCAATGGGTACAGGTTGAGGTTTGCAGCCAGTACAGCAGCTCCCTGGCTGTCCCAGTAAGGACAGTGCCCATGGGCCAGTGGTCACAGGCACACGCTGTGATCGTGTGTATGGWAAAGGAGAGGCTGGATGTGCCCAGGCCTGAGACTTCCCCAGMTGTGATCCTTGGGAAGAGAGCAGCTCCCTCCAATCTCCTGAGCACCATCAGCRGAGGAGAGGTACTCAGCAGCAGCCACTGAAGGACAGCAGATGCCCTCACAGACCTTTCTCCCTCCCCAGCTGAGTCTCAGCACAGGGCCCATGTGCTCCCAGTAAGGCAGACTGGTCCCCAAAGAGGATATGTAGGACATGCCTTGTGTTTTTCACACCTGGGTCCGTTGCTGTTTGGGCACATTTACCCTCACAGGACATTTCTGTGCACAAGGGCCACAGGAAGGACAGTTCCCTGTGCAGGCAATGTGTGGGCAGCCTGTCCTGCATCACTGACCCCTGCCTGTTCCCTGCCAGCTGCCCTGGACAGCACTGGCCACATTGCAGACATCAGCTGCTCACAGGGACAGTTCCCACTGTCATCACTGCTGGATCCCACTGCCTGTCCCTGCCATAGAATCACCTAATCACTGAGCAGTTTGGGCTGGAAGAGACCTTAAGGCTCATTTTTTCCTACCCTCTGCCACGGGTAGGGACACTTTCCGCGGTCCCAGGCTGCTCCAAGCCCTGTCCAGCCTGGYCTTGGACACTGCCAGGGATCCAGGGGCAGCCACAGCTTCTCTGGGAAACACAGGAAACAATTTCTTCTTAGTATCTGATACAAACCTCTCCTCTTTTAGCTTAGACTAGTTGCCCCTTGTGCTATCACTATATGCCCGTGTAAGAAGTCACTCTCCCTCCCTTTTACAAGCCCCCTCCAAGTACAGCCTTCCCCGATGCCTGTCTGTGCCCGGACCGCAGGAAGGGGGCTCAGGGGGATCCTCCGCCGGAGAGGGGCTGTCATTCCTTACCGCCGGCTGCCACCTAGTGATGGAGGGAGCGGGGCAGCAGGGACCCCACCTGGAATCCCGGGAGGGACCCCGGGCTTGGGGGCTGGAGCCCAGGGCCGTACTGAGCCCGGGGCCGTGCTGAGCCCGGGGCCGTGCCGAGCCCAGGGTTGTGCTGAGCCCAGGTCTGTGCTGGCCGAGGATGCTCCTCCGGAGAGAGCAGGCGGGGAGGAGAGGAGAGGAGAGGGGCTACAGAAGGCGTCTGTTCCGCACGTCCCGTGCTCCCCGCGGTCCTGGCACTCCGGGATGTTGACAGCAAGATCTGTTTGCGGAGATGTCCAGGCTGTCCCTGCCAGAGCCACCGGCACCCCGCAGCTCCCGTGCCCGAGCAGCAGCWCCCGCTCGTCCTTATCCAAGGGACTGTCAGTGACCGCAGGGGAGCGGAGGGTGAAAGTCCGGCTGACTTCTGCCGGTGTGCCGCCAGCTCTGGCTCTTCTCCACAAACAYTGGGCCGTGGCCACCTGGAGAGGGRCTCCTGCCCTTTGCTCTGTTTGCAGTTTGCCTCGGGCTGTTTGGCTTCAGTTAATCATCCCACGAAGGCAAACAGTGCTGGGAAGGATTGAGAATGGCCCAGCACTTCCCGCTCCTCTGGGCCCAGGGACCCTCAGCTGTGGGATGGATCACATCTAGCTGGATCTGGCCACCAGCTCGAGACTGCCTGGAAGCTGTCTGAAAGAGGAACAGGAAATTCAGGCTCTATTCTCCATGGACACTACTTAGACAGTYTGGGGTGAGTGCTGGGCACTCCTCAGTCTTCACCACAGGGTCGGGCTAGTSCATCAGGGCTGGGGCTCTTCATAGGATGACAGAGCAGGAATGTGAACTCCAATGTAGAACAAAGGAAAAAGACAGCTCCTGGATGCATGGTACAGGACCAGGCGAGGGTGAGGGGCTCAGCCTGGTGTGGCTAGAACGGTGCTCATCTCCCCTCCTGCAGCCCAACACCAATCCCTATAAACCCCCACCCCTCCAGCAGTGCTCTCTGGATCATACACCCCAACACCAATCCCTATAAACCCCCAGCATTCCAGCAGTGTTCCCTGGATCATACACCCCAACACCAATCCCTATAAACCCCCAGCACTCCAGCAGTGCTCCCTGGATCATACACCCCAGCTCCCCCGGCAGCCCCCCCGCAGGCTGGCCAGCCCCACTGGCCCTGGTCTGAAGGTCACAGTGCTGCACAGTAGGGACAGCACAGAGTGCAGGATCCCGCTGGAGTGCTCAGTCTCAGCAGCACTCTGAAGCCACTAGCCATGATTATTTGGGGTCTCCTTTCCTTCCTCCTCTTCACTGTGGCCAGCGGAATCCCCGTTGGAGACCAGGATGAGGACATCCAAGTGCAGGAGAATTTTGAGGCTGAACGGGTAATGGCAGCTTATAATCGTTTAATTCTGGAGGCAAAGGGGATGGGGTAAGCTTTCTTTCATTTTCCTCCAGAAAGAAGGCAGTAATGCCCATGCYCATGTCAGGCTGTGCGGGACAGTCATTGGCATTGTGGCACTCCCTGGATGCCAGYCTTTGGTGTGGCTAATCCTGGCAAACTGCAGGCAGGGTGGCTGCAGACCGAGTGCCAGGGCAGATGGGTCCTGTGGGAAGTCTGTGGTTCAGCATGCAGGATTTCTGTGGGATGCAGGCTGTCTGGGAGATCGCCCACAAAGTGCCCTGTCCCCTGCCAGTCTTTGTACAGGCTGTGCCTAGGGCTGGGTCCCACCAGTACACATGGGGRAATGCCAGCCTGATGCCTCCAGCCCTGCCTCATATTAAGGAAACCAAGGAAAATCTTGCTGATAACACTGAAGTGCTGATACACTTCCAAAATCCTGCAGCAGCTCTGGCCTCTGCACCCTGCATCATCACCTTCCAGCTTCTCTGTGGGTCAGGAACATTTCAGCTTTGCAGAAAATCAGATGTCCCATCTTGGTGAGGAGGACTCATGGTGGAGACATTTCTCTCTCCTCCCTGCAGTTGTACGGGAAGTGGTTTGACATTGCCATTGGCACGACCTGCAAATGGATGACGATCTACAAGGAGAAGTTCAGCATGGGCACGMTGGTGCTGGGGCCTGGCTCCAGCGAGGATCGGATCAGCACTGCCAGCACCAGGCTACGGTATGGGACACTGCTGGGGACGCCTGAGCCTCCTCCAAAGCCACCCCACCCACCGGTGCTTCCTGTCCCAGGAGCTGGGAGACACTCGGGGGTGATTTGGCATCTGAGCCCTGAGGAGGTGCTCGGGAGAGATTGGATTTAAATACCCAGTTCCTTGGGGTAGGGTGATTTCAAGGGTCTGATGCCATGACCTCACTCTCCAGACATTATTTTCATGCCATAACCAGGGAAAACAATCCCTCCAAGCAGCTGATTGTTTTCTTCCTCCCTCCAGGCAAGGTGACTGCACACAAGTCTCAGGGGAGTACCAGAAAACCAGCACCCCTGGCAAATACACCTACTACAACCCCAGTGAGTTGGGCATGGTTGGGAGATGGGGGCCAGCTCTGGGGACAGCTGGAGGAGGGCTCAGGGGTTCAGTAGAGCAGGGCCCCAAGGCCACTACACAGTTTGGATCATTTCCAGCCAAAGTGTAGAGTAAAGCTGGGGGGAAGGGCTGTTTGGGCACTGTCCCTGCATAGCCACAGGATGAGGAGATGTTGCAGCAAGTCACTCCTGTCCACAGGGTCCCAGGCTGGGGCAGGTTCCCACCAGCCACACTTCAGGAGCGTTAGTGGTATCTCAGTTGTCCACAGCCCTTGGCTTCCAATCCCCTCAACAAAGAGGCTGATGCGCCTAAAGGGAGTCATGGCTTTATCTGAGTCTGCTTCCCAAAAATCATGTTTTCTTTAATTAGATGCCTGATTTCAGCCCTCAGCTTTGGGGCTGTCCTACACTGCTCCATCTCACTGTGAGGGGCAGGAATGACACCCCTGTGTCTCTGTCTCACCCAGAATGGGATGTGTCTATCCAGTCCTATGTGCTCCGTACCAACTACGAGGAATATGCTGTCATTTTGATGAAGAAGAAAAGCAGTTTTGGCCCAAGCACCACTCTGAAGCTGTATGGTATGTCTGGCYATGACACTTGAGGGCAAGCCAGCTCTGGGGTGGGCCAGCACAGCTCAAAAACACCACCCAAGGGTCTCTCRGCTCCCTTGGCCTTTAGGGACCTGACCCTCAAGGGTTTGGAAATGGTGCCTTGGACCAGCTCATCTTTGGCCTGGCAGAGGAGGAGTCTCATGGCTCCGTGAAAGCCACATCAGGCAACGAACATCCAAGGCAGCGTGGTGTTTGGGATGAAGGTATTGATATCTGCTTAGAGAAAACGCATGCCCTGCATTGGCAGCAGATGCTGTCTTCCATGATTAAGAAATATTAAACCCACATATTCCAAGGCCTTGGTCAAAGATGGTCAAGAACAAGAGGCTGCCCAGGGAAGTGGTGAAATCACTGTTCCTCGAAATGTTCAAAAACTTTGTACATGTGGTGCTTAGGGTCATGGTTTAGGGTGGGTGTGGCAGTACCATGTCAATGGCTGGGCTCGATCTTTGCTTCCCTGATTCTGTGGTGGGAAAGGCCAGGAGGCTGCTGTTGGACCTGCCTGCAGCCACCAGAGCTCGGTGATGGTTGGGGGTTGCATGCAAACCCCTTCCCACACCAACCCTGCTCACAGCCCGTTCTCCTTCCCAGGGAGGAGTCCAGAGCTGCGGGAGGAGCTCATTGACTCTTTCTATCAGCTGGCTCTGGAGATGGGCATCCCTGAGGACTCCATCTTCATCCTGACCAACAGAGGTAACCTCCCATGGGACATGTGCCTCTTCTTCTGCCAGAGCACTCCATCTGTTACTTCTTGGTTTGTCAAGCGGGGGAAATGGAGGATGGTCAGGAGGGAGGAAATAGAGACAAGTGCTTTGGTAGCATGGGATGAAAAGGAAATAAGGCCATCTATCAGTCAGGATTCCACCAGAGGAATCAGCTTCCAGCCAGAGGGATCTGTGCTGGGCTGTCAGGTCAATGAACCACACCACTGTGCTGGGATGAGGGCATGGGACACTCTGGGACACTCATGATTGGTGCCCAGGCTGGTGCTGCCAGTACCTGGGAGGCTCCTTGCCCAGTCTGGGGTGCAGAAGAGGYTAGCATGATATGAGGCTAGTGCGATACAGGGGGGAGGGTGTTTGTGGATTTTAGGGGGATTGGGGGTGGGATTTCAAGGGGATGAAGGGAGATATGGGTATTTAAGTGTGGTGCTTCTGTGAGTGGGAGGTGGAAAGCACAGAGGGGAAGAATGCCAGGTGGAACTGGGAGGGGGTCCCAYTGCCCAGGGTCCTGTGTGCACAGTGCTGTACTCACTGAGGTGAGCTTGTCAGGACACCTCTCCTCTCACACTGCTCATCTTTTCTTCTGCTCTGGGCCAGGTGAATGTATTCCTCAGCAGACTGAAAATGCTCCCCAGGTGAGTGGGCTGGCTGGGACCTTCTGAAGGCCACAGTCATCCCTTCCAAGCCAAACTCCCTGGAGATTGGGTGTCCAGGGAGAAGAATCTGCGGGCAGGACACATTGGTTGGGCAGTGGCTCCACTGAGCATCCTGGGAKTTGCTCTTCCACCTCTGCTGATGGGCTTTGCCTGCAAGGATGGGGGCAAGGCAGGTGCAGGGTGAGGGTTCTGATGGCCAGGTGGGTACAAGAGCTCATTTCCAAGTGGAAACCTTTTCCCACTCTGATTTTCCTCACAGTGTGAATGTCTCTGGTGTTTCCTTGTTCCTTGCCTGGCTGTGGATGTCCCAGCCAGGCCTCTTCTCCAGGGGTGGGGAGGCTTAGCACCCCGCTGCTCCTTCAGCTTCCATCATTCACCAACTCCCAGCCTCTCAGGGTTGACTTTAGACAGATTTTCGGGGGGGAATGGGACTCCCATAGAAGAAACAACCCAGTTGACTCGAGAGCACGTAACATGCCATTGAGGCACATCCCCAGCATGGGGGATGACTGGAGCACTTTGGGTGTTTTCATCTACAATCTGTAATCACAGACCCCACCCTGAAAGAGCACAGGGCTGGGAAGATGTTGAGGTGAGTAGGGATCACAGGCTACAGACCCGAGATCAATGACTGGAGACATGCTGGGAGGATGGAGGAGGGTTGGAGCCCACCCTGCAGATAATGGGGTGGGCAGCAGSTCCCACAGGCAGGGTCTGATGGCAGCTCTGTTCTTCCTTGCCGGTGCAGAGGGCACGGAGAGCTGTCCTACCCCCGGAGGAGGGCTCAGCYGCAGGACCCCTGCCCCCTTACATTGGCAATAAGGAAGGTAGGTCCCAGGGGAGGCGGCTGCATCAGGAACCCCCTGTCCCACACTCCCTTTTGCCTCTGACCCCTGGTGCTCTGCTCCACAGACCTGTGCCGGCTGAGCCGGGACCCCGGGCCCTGCAGCGGGATGCTCTCCCGCTTCTTCTACAACTCCTCCTCCATGGCCTGTGAAACCTTCCTCTACGGAGGCTGTCTGGGCAACGGCAACAACTTCTACTCAGAAAAGGAGTGTCTACAGGCGTGCAGGACCGAGGGTGAGCGTCCCTGCCAGGCCAGGGCACTGCAGGGGCCTTTGCTGAGGCATCACAAAGGATCTGAGCATTGCCTTGAATGCCACGTGTCTGGCACCCATGTGGGAGGTGTGGGAATCCCTGGAACTCGCCTCACACAGCCCCTGTCCCTGCAGCTGCCTGCAGGCTGCCCATTGTCCCAGGTCCCTGCCAGGCACCGGTGACACGCTGGGCCTTCGATGCGACCCAGGGCACGTGCATCACCTTCAGCTACGGGGGCTGCAAGGGCAATGGGAACCAGTTCTACTCGGAGAAGGAGTGCAAGGAGTACTGTGGGGCTCCTCAGCTGACAGGTACTCCCCTTATCCCCCACCCCAGGGCAGCAGTGTGCACCACCTCCTGTCCTGCACTGGCTCTGCCTGGGGTGGGGACAGAGCTCTCCTAGCTCTGAATGAGTGCAGGACAGGTCTGTCATGGGCCTGGGATGGGTTTGTCATGGGTTCAGGATGGCTCTGGGTCTGTCATGGGGTCAGGATGGCTCTTGTGCTGTGCCTGGGGTGGGTCAGTCTGGGTTGGAACAGATCCAGGATGGGTGTGTCCTGGGGCTGGAATGGGTTTGTCATGAGGCCATGATGGGTGCAGGGTGGTTTTGTGCTATGCCTGGGAGGGATCTGTCCTGGATAGGGAATAGGGCCATTAACCCACAGACAGTATGGCACAGGGGAACTGTGCAAGCTGCAGGCRTGCTGAGACCATGGCTGAACTTCAGTGTGGTCTTGAGGAAACGGGGAACATCCCCAGGCAGGTTGGGGACAGTGGAGAGCAGTGGAGGCAACAGCCCTGGGCTGAAAGGTTTGGGGGTGCGGGAACCCTGCACCAGCCAAGGACAAAACCTGTCCAAAGGGTTCCTGGGGGYGTGTGACACCTACCAGGCCCCCCAGCTCCAACCAGGGCAGGGGTTTCCCTACTGAACCTCCCTGGGAGACACATCAGGCAGCACCCAGCCCTCAGGGGAACCAATGACCCCCTGTCAGGAGTSTGGCAGAGGAGACCTTCCTGCAGAGATGGGGGACTGGGGGGCTCTTCCACCATACCCAGCCTGGGTGAGCCTGCTTCCAGGAGGGCAGGGGCTGGGGACATGCTCTGACTCCTTAGGTGGGAGGTGGAGCCTGTCTTAGGGCATTGCTCATCTTTTGCAATCCCCGCCAGCAATATGAAGCACATGAATGCCACCATGATGGGTAGTGGGACACGAGGAGTAGGACAGCGAGGGTGAGCACAGAGGGTCTGGACTGCTCCCCATCTGCAGCATGGGAGGCAGGCAGGGCATCCATCGTCTGTGGGGTCTCGGAGTCTGTCCATCACCTGCTGTGTCTCTCCACTTGCAGAGGACGAGGAGTTTCTGCATCTCTCAAACTGATGCAGGCGGAGGATGAGGGGCTGCCACCCAGCATCGAGGTACCGCAGGATGATGCTGGACACTGTGGCAGCACAGCAGRTGCCTCCAGCAATAAATGTCTCCAATGTCACCAAAGAGCCCAGTGTCCATTCTCAAGTTGCTGGGGAGCAGGGTGGGGGRTGCAGGAGGGGCAGGGGATGCTGTGGGGTTCTCTCTGACCTTCCTGGTGGGGTGTCCCTGGATGGGACCCAGCCCCTCATTTCCCAGGGGATGGGAGTGGGCTGCCGGGAGGGGAACAGCAAGGGAACAAGGGTCTGTTCCTCCCTAATGATCGCAGCTGGCTCCGGGTCACGGTGGGACCGGGGAGACTCGTGCGTAGCCGAGATGGGGGCACGGGGAGTGAGGGGGCAATCAGGGGGATTATATGGGGTTTGCAGCAAGGGATTACGGGGTGTTAGAGACGAACCTGAGGAGTCATGGAACAGAGTGACCGGCTTATGAGGGTCATGGGAAAATGGGTCTGGCACAGGAGGGGACGACAGGGATTATGGGAGTGCCAGGCTATATAGGGTTCCCTGGAATAGGTTAGAGGTGTTTTGGGGGTGGTCCCAGGGATGCTGCGGTGGCCCCATGAGGGGTTATAGGGGTCACAGGTGGAGGACTGTGAAGCTTCCAGGAGGGGATTGCGAGGGTTTTGGGGGGTTGTAGGGGTTCCAGAACGGCATGGCCGGGGTTGTGGGGATCACGCTTCGGGGGGTTCCGGGCACTTTGGACTGCACTCGGCGTTCGGGGCAGTGACGGGAGATTCCCGGAGCTCCCGCAGCGGCCGCGCTCCGTGCCCTTCTGTCCCCCCCSGGCCGCCGTACCCGCGCCGCGCGCGTCCCGGCCCCCCGCGCTGAGGCGGAAGAGCCAAGATGGCGGCGGCGGGAGCCCCGCACCGCCCCCGCTCCCCGTGCCCGGCTCCCGGCTCCGGCCTCCGGCGGGGCTGAGCGGCCTCGGCCCTACCGCCCCGCGCCGGCCCCCGGCACCGGCCCCACCGCMCCGCGCCGGGACATGCCCCGATAGTGCCCCCCCTCCCCCGGCGCAGCTTCCTCCCGCCGGGCCGGGCCCGCACACCTCCGCCCCGGATGGCCGGGCCGGTCCCGCTGCAGCCCTGAGCCGCCCCGTGCCTCTCCCGCGGCCGCCCGGCCCCTGAGTCCGCGTTCCGCCCATTCCCCGGGGTGCAGGTGTGGGACCACGAAGATGTTCTCGGCCCTGAAGAAGCTGGTGGGCTCGGACCAGGCTGCGGTCCGCGACAAAAACATCCCTGCGGGGCTGCAGTCCATGAACCAGGCGCTGCAGAGGAGGTTTGCCAAGGGAGTCCAGTATAACAGTGAGTCAGAGCGCTGGGCCGGGGGAAGGCGGGCGGCCCCGTCCGGTGCCCCGTGCGGTGCCTGGGGACCTCCTGAGAGGCTGGGCGTGCGTGTGCTTGTGCACGGTGCTGCTTTCATCCGTTTKCGCACAAAGCAAAGTTTGGAGTAAAATGTTGCAGCTCGTGGGAGGATTGAGGGATGGGAAACTTTTATCTTTTGGTGTAGGACTAGGGACGCGCGGTGCAGCAGCTTCCCTGAGCGCTGCCTGCCGGCTGTGGCGCGGCAGAGAGTGCCTTGTTACATCAGTTTGTGTCASTTCAAGCATCAAGAGGGTAACTCCCCTGAAAGTGTGGGTGACCTTCCCTGCAACCCAGGATAATGGTGTTTATAATTAAGCTCTGGTGGCTATAKAAGAGTCTATTAAAAAGCTCAGCCCTGCCAGGCATTAATGAAGGGTGGGTAGTGAGTACCTCTGTGTGCCCTTGGTACAAAGTTTCATCCTCACTGTCTTTTCTTCAATTGATACATGTGCTCTTTTCTCAGGGAACGCATTCAGAATTCTTTTCCTCTCCTTGTTGAGACTTAGGGCTGCATTTTTTCCTTGGAGCTCAGTAAAGGTGATTTGTAACATGGTGTTTCAGGAGGGCACTGCAAGTATGTGAAATGCATYCCAAAGTAACAATTGTGAGACAGGGTCAGCAGTTATGTCATTCCTGCTGAAAATAGAGCTCATTCTAGAGAGCGCTGCAAGTACCAGCTCATCTGCGTGGATCCAGGCAGGCAGGGAGGCAGATTGCAGAAGGCTGAGAGATTGGCAGGTGGGAAAAAGACTGATTTGTRAACGTGGCACTGGATGATTTCTGTGAAGGCGCACGTTGGAGGAATAGAGCTTATGTTGGATCTTAGTGTGAAACAGAATGTGATGGAGAAGTTAGCACTTTGAGTTTTGGGGTGTTTTTGCCTTTGTTTAATATTATGGCTGTTGACTGTGCCTTGGGACTGAGGTTTTGAAGTGCTCCACTTTAGTAGAGAGTGCATTTGGTGCCTTTATCCATAGCACATCTGCAAGTATGACAGTGCTGTTTAATTTATAAAATTAGTGTCTTAGCAAGCTATCCTGAATGTGAACAGCAGCAGTGAGACTGGATTTCCAGTGAAAGATGGGGTGAGGATGAAAGTGCTGCCTTGGAATATAGCACTGCATCCTTCAACATGGACCTAGAGATCTGCTGGTCACAAACGGTTGATTTSTGCAGAGGCTTTGTGTGGCCACAGCCCAGACCTGTGTGCTGTGCTGGCAGCTTGAGTGTCAGAGATCAGGTAGCTAATGSCAGCTATTGTGAATTATGTAAGAGSCAGGAGTTGACTTGTCAGACTGAGGAGGTTTGTGCTGCAGACAGAAGGGATCAGCTGTATCCTGCTGGCACAGGATGGGACCAGCCCTGCTCCGTGGTGACTACACTGTGCCAGATCTGTGGATGGGTACCTGCCTGCCATTCATGCAAGGCCAGAAATGCCAACTATAGCTTCGCTGCTTTTTGTCTCATTCCTGAAAGYCTCAGGAAAGGTTTTTGGTTTGTGCTCTGTCTTACCAAGATCTGTGTTCTAGTTACTGCTTTATAGCTGGTATAAAACTGCTGCTTTCTGTCCCTGCCTTAAGGCGAGTTTTTCAATCTCCATAGTAACTCTCCCCAGCATCACTGTTATATAATATTTATAGAAGATACAGGCTGGCTTACAAAAGGGCTTCTAGGTACCTCCTATAGCCATGGCACTGGGTAGATAGGGAATGTTCCAGTGTGGTGAGGTGGTCTCAGTTGAAGGCAGSCTGTGAAGGAATGCCCTTGCAAGGGCCATTGCTCAGGAAGGGCAGAGCTGCAAATCCTGTGCATTGCCAATTCTCCTTTCTTGGCAAAAGCCTGGCATTCAGCAGATGGGTGCAGGATGTGGTTTGGAGCCACCTTTAGCATACACAGATCTTTACAACTCGTCTGTTTCTCTGGAGCTACCTAAACCAAAGTGAGCTGTGATTTTTTTCTACAGAAATGTTTCATTGCTGCATTAGACCACTACAGATGCTGAATGAAGCCTGTTTCCTTCCCAGAAAAATATTGAGTGTGCTGAGAATTGGGCTGTTTGCTGATAAAGCAGGCTGGGACACAGGCCCTGTACCTGACTCTGGGTGCCTCAGTGGACTCAGAGCAGTCCCCACTGTGCCAGCCCTATGCCTCTCGGGTTCATTTGGCAACAGATAGCTCTGTGTTTGAAGTGGTGCCGAAGGCTGTGAGGTGTAATAATGGCACTGGCAGTTACAGACACTGTGTAGAATAGAGTGCTAAGTTGAACCCAAATAATTTGTTTTGATGGTCCCTYCCCCACACAGTCATTTTCAAAAGGAAGAGCATTGCAGGGTGGAAGGTTTAGATTTCTAATGAAATGATGAGAGCAGAGACCAGTACCATCCTTTGGCAGCAGTCGTGTCCTTTGAATGGGACATCCTATTGCAAARCAACAGCATTTCCATACTGCATTTCAGCACACACTCTTATCTACCATCTGCATGGAGCTGCTGTGGTTCACAGAGTTAACACCAGAGTTCMCTGAGCACTCAGAAAGCACAGAGCTGAAAATTATGTGGGTCTGTGCCMTGTATGTCATGGCTGGAATGTTTATAAGGAATCATGGTTCCAAGGGTGGGGAACCAATCTTTGTGAAAACTCGCTCTTGTTTTCCATGCTTGGGATACCCTAGATCAGGTGTGCTTCATGGCCATTCCGAGGGCTGTGCTGGCCCTGGGAGGGAGCATGGCAAGAGCAAGTAAGAAGAGGTGTGTCTCATGCCTTTGGCAGCAGTGCTYGTATGAACAAATTACAAGACCAATTGCAGAACATAATTTACCACCAGGGTACTCAGATGTGACCATTTATGTAAGGCGGTGATGGGTAAACAACRGTTCTGGRTGGGCRTTCYCTGGGAGYTGCTGCTCAGGGACAGGAGCAAAACASGTGGAAGTGCCAAAGGCTCATCCATGCTATTTCCCAGAACATGGAACCCCTGCTCTGGGCTTTGCCCAGTGCATCCAGTGTGTCAYTTGACAGGCCCCACTGTCATGTGTGCCTGGAGCACAGGCTGAACAGTCACGAGTGCTGGGATACCAAAGGCAGTAACTTCAAGAATTCCCCTCATTCCCTCTCCTTATTACTTTTTTCTGCCTAACGTATGCCTTACATAGTATTAGTTAAGTTTTGTCTTTTATCTCTTCAGTAAACATTCTAGTCCTTACTTTTTTTGTGTTACTTTAGAGTCGTAGTTCCCAGATTCATTGTTAAGTATTTTCATTCAGTGCAATTCTCAAAAGAAATGCTTCTCCTCCTCCTGCTACTTCCCACCTTCTCTCAGGTGTTGGTGCAACATATTCCCGCCCTGCTTTGCCTGATGCTGGCCTGTGTCTGTGAGAAGTGTGCTTGGGAGGGTCTGCAGAGCAGGTGGTGCTGATTTTGGCAGCAGAACAAGCTCAAAGCATTTCAGTTGCAGTCCCAAAGACTTAATGAGGATAGGGTGATGGCCCTCTGCATGGGGTTATTAGTTTGGGTATCTTTGCTGCAGAGTCCTGGAGGAATATGGGCAAAGCTGGGAATTCCTGATTTGTAGTTCTGAGTTCWTCTCAGACCTGTTCTTTGGGCCTGTATCTTCACTGCTCTGCTTCCATTTCCCCATCTGAAGAATGGAAATCCATCTGGTTTTCCTGATGCGATGACAATATGAATAAAGTGATTTGTTTAGCT